AGGAATTCCTCCCCCCACCTTCAAGAAACACCTTGGGGTGGGAGGACCAGCCCTCCAACGGGGCACATTAGCTGCAGGGAGGGTCCAGGAGGACCTGGAGCTGCCCTCAAGCCTTCCCTGGGGACACAGACCTGCTGTCATGACCCAACCCCAACTTCCCCCACTGTGAGTGACACCGAAGGAGCATTTATCACCTGAACAAACCACCCCAGCATCTTCTGAGTGGTAGCAGTTGTTGTGGCTCCAGGGCCGGGCAGGGCAGGAGGACAGGCTGGTCTCCATCCCCGTGCAGTTGGTGTCATCCATCCAGATGGTCCCAACCCCATGGCCAAACTGGGCCTTCCCAGGGGCTGCCAGTGCCCGCCCGCAGCCCAGCTGCCTGCAGACCACCTGGGCGTCCAGCAGGTCCCAGTGGTCATCACACACAGTCCCCCACTGGCCCTGGTGGAAGATCTCCACTCGGCCAGCACAGCGGTTGTCGAAGTTCACCAGCCGGACGTGGTCACCCTGCAAGTGACCTGGGAAAAGAAGGGAGACATGGGGAAGGGACACGTAAGGAGAACTGGCCTGAGACCTTCTGAGGTCACCAACTGGTGCAGCTCCATCTCATAGAGTCATAGGTCGAGGTGGGAAGGAACCTCTGGAGACCCCCCAGTGCAGCCCCCTGGAGAGCAGGGTCACCCCCAGCAGGTCCCACAGGAACACACCCCGATGGGCTGGGATGTCTCCAGGGATGGATGGAGGCTCCACCACCTCCCTGGGCAGCCTGGCCCGGGGCTCTGGGACCCTCAAGGTCAACAAGTTCCTCCTCAGCTTCAGGTGGAACCTCCTGAGCTCCAGTTTGTCCCATTGCCCCTTCTCTTGTCCCTGGACACTGCTGAGAAGATCCTGGGCCCACCCAAAACTTCTCCAGCCCCTCAGACACCCCAGAACCCCCCCCATGATAGAAATGCCCATCAAGAGGCCACGTTGCCTGGAGCTGCTTGTGGAGGTGGGACAAGACCCATCACTTCTTGCTCCTGAAGGGGTTACCTGAACACACCACACCAGCTTCTCTCCCATGGTGACAAGTTCCATGTCCCCAGGGCTTCACCTTGCAGGCAGAGAGGTTGGTCTCCGTGCCCACGCAGCTCACGCTCTTGGGCCACATTTCTCCAGGTCCTGACCCAAAATGGGACCCTCTGGGTGCTTCCAGCGCTGTCCCACATCCCAGTTGCCTGCAGACCACAGTGGCCTCAGCCAGGCCCCAGTCCTGGTCGCACAGGGCCACCCAGGTGCCATTGTGGGTCATCTCCACCCTCCCTGGTGGAGCCGTTGGCCAAGCGGAGGTTGGGAGACACCGACACCCCCGAGGCTGCAACGACAGGAAGGGTGAGTGCACCAGGAGAACCTCAGCTGCTCCTCTCCAAGCCACAGGATCATGGAATCCCTGAGACCTTCTGGTTGGAAAAGACCTTGAAGATCATCAGGTCCAACCACAACCCAGCTCTACCAACCATAACCCAACTCCACCAACCACAACCCAGATTTACCAACTGTGAACCCAACTCACCACAAACCAACTTGACCAAACATTAACCCAACTCTACCAACTACAACCCAACTCTACCAACTACAACCCAACTCTACCAACTACAAACCCAACTTTAACAACCGTTAACCCAACTCTATCAAGCATGACCCAGCTCTACCAACCATAAACCAACTTTAACAAACATTAACCCAACTCTACCAACTACAACCCAACTCTACCAACTACAACCCAACTCTACCAACCATTAACCCAACTTTAACAACCGTTAACCCAACTCTATCAAGCATGACCCAGCTCTACCAACCACAACCCAACTCTACCAACCATAACTCAACTCTGCCAACCACAACCCAACTTTAACAACCATTAACCCAACTCTACCAAGTCCAATGCTTAAACCATGTCCCTCAGCACCACTTGACTTAGTTGAGTTGGGCTATGGGTGGTAGAGATGAGTTAGGGGTTAGTAGAATTGGGTTAATGGTTGGCAGAGTTGGGTTGTGGTTGGTACAGTTGGGTTGTGGTTGGCAGAGTTAGGTTAATGGTTGGTAGAGCTGGGTTGTGGTTCGTAGAGTTGGGTTAATGGTTGGCAGAGTTGGGTTGTGGTTGACAGAGTTGGGTTAATGTTTGGACCAAATGATCTTTAAGGTCTTCTCCAACCAGAACCATCATGTGATGACCCTGTGGAAGGGGACGCTGCAGACAAGCGCCCAGGCAGGGGCTGCAGGACCCATCCCACCATCCCTCAGGAAGCTAAATCTTCACCTTCTGAATTCCCACCCTGGAAGTCTGATCTGGACCTGGAGATGAGCCTCACCTGAACATACCACCCCAGCATCCTCCCCGTGGAAGCAGTTGTTCTTCCCCCAGGCCTTGGCCTGGCAGTCGAAGAGGTTGCCCTCAGTCCCGGTGCAGTTGACCTCGTCCAACCAGATGGGATCGTGTCCCCTTCCAAAATAAGCCCCACCAGGGGCTGCCATGGCCACCCCACAGCCCAGCTGCCTGCAGACCACGGCAGCATCCTCCAGGTCCCATCCATCATCGCAGACTGTCCCCCACTGGTGCTCGTGGAGAACCTCAACCCTCCCAGCGCAGCGGTTGGGGCCGTTGAGGAGCTGCAGGGTCCCCAGGGAGGTGACATTGGAGGCTGTGGGTGGCCCAAGGGGGGCACAATCAGAGATGGGGCCACCAGCAGGACGAGGGGGAAAGGTTGGCTGGGTCACTGTCACCTCAGGCTACCTGAGCACTCCACACTGGCATCCTCCAGGTGGTTGCAGTTGTGTTCCCCCCAGGGCCTGGCTGGACATTCCAAGAGGTTCTTCTCCTTCCCGGTGCAGTTGACTTCATCCAACCAGATCTGCCCCGTCCCTTCCCCGTACCGTGTCCCCGGGGCCACCGACAGCACCTCCCCACAGCCCAGCTGCTGGCAGACCACCCGGCCCTCTGGGGGGCCCCAGCCATCGTCACACACCGTCCCCCACGTCCCGTTGTGCAGAACCTCAACCCTCCCAGCACAGGGGTCGGGGCCACCGACCAGGCGGAGGAGCTGCCCTGAGGTCTCTGCAGCTGCACCTGGAACAACAAGAGTGACCCGGGTGACATCCTGGGGGGTGGCTGGAGGCACCAGGGAAGGTGGGGTTTGGCTCCAAGGAGGTATCGACACCTGGAAGCTCAGAAACCACCCGTGTCCTGGGTTGTGTCACCAGCAGCGTGGGCAGAAGGGCCAGGGAAGGGATTGTCCCCTCGGCTCTGCCCCCTTGAGACCCCCCCAGACGCTGCATCTAAAGCAGCGTGAGCAGCAGGTCAAGGAGTGGATTGTCCCCTCTGCTCTGCCCTCTTGAGACCCCACCTGGAGAACTGGGTCCAGTTCTGGAGCCCCCAACACAAGAAGGACATGAGAGAGTCCAGAGGAGGCCCTGGAGATGCTGGGAGGGCTGGAGCAGCTCTGGGACAGGCTGGGAGAGTTGGGGTGTTGAGCCTGGAGAAGAGAAGGCTCCAGGGAGACCTTAGAGCAGCTTCCAGGGCCTGAAGGGGCTCCAGGAAAGCTGGGGAGGGACTTGGGACAAGGGCAGGGAGGGATGGGATGAGGGGGATGGATGAAAAGTGGAAGAGGGAACATCTAGGTTGGAAGTCAGGGGGAAATTCTTCACCATGAAGTGGGAAGACCCTGGCCCAGGTTGCCCAGGGAAGCTGTGGCTGCCCCATCCCTGGGGGTGTTGAAGGGCAGGTTGGATGGGGCTTGGAGCAACCTGGGCTGGTGGGAGGTGTCCCTGCCCATGCAGGGGTTGGATCTTGGTGATCTTGGAGGTCCCTTCCAACCCAAACCATTCCATTATCTCTGGGTCTGTGTCACCCACTGCTCCTCTGTCTCAGTGCCAAGGGGTGGGATGAAGCTGCCCCAGAACAGCCCTAGGGGCACCAGGGGGTGACTGTGGGAGATGAAGATACCTTGGAAGCATAAGGGATAGCGGGGAGGAGGACCTGGAGGACCTCAGGGCCTGGAGGACCTCTGAAGACCTCCTGGAGGACCTGTGGAGGACCCTGGAGACACACACAAGTTGGATCTGGCTCCTGTCTGAGCTCAGCTAAGACATTTACCAACCACTGGAAGCTTCATGTCCACCCTGTGCTCCCCAAAAAGGGTCTCAGGGTTGATGTTGACCATCCCAGATCACCCTGGACATCTCTTTGTAGTCAACTGAGCCCCATCCCAGCATCTAAATCCGTGGACTGGCCTCAGTGTGGATCCCACCCCCCACCTTCTTGTTTTTGGCTTGTCCAAGGGGTGGAAAAAGAAACCAGCTGGAGGTCAATCCCATGGACACCACAACTGGGTCAACAGAGAGAAAAAAAGAGGTCAAGAGGGACGTGATTTCACTGTGCAAATAAACTTTGTGACCCTGGATAATGATTTCTGAAGTTCTCAGGCACTGGTGGGGCTGGTTGTCAGGAAGCACACGTAGCTCCTGGGGAGTCCCAGGCCATCAACAAAGGATCCAAAATGGGTGGAAAAAATCAAAATCCATGAGTTGTTTGAATCTGAAGAGCATCTGTGGGAAGGGTTGGAAGATCCTCTGTCCTCAGGTGAAGAGCACAGCTCTGACCATGGGTGGATCTTCTGTCTCATCCTTTCCTCACCTTCCCCTTCTGACTTTCACCCCCACATATTGGGGGTTGGCAGGAACCTCTGGAGACCCCCCAGTGCAGCCCCCTGGAGAGCAGGGTCACCCCCAGCAGGTCCCACAGGAACACACCCCGATGGGCTGGGATGTCTCCAGGGATGGAGGCTCCACCACCTCCCTGGGCAGCCTGGCCCGGGGCTCTGGGACCCTCAAGGTCAACAAGTTCCTCCTCAGCTTCAGGTGGAACCTCCTGAGCTCCAGTTGGTCCCGTGGCCCCTTGTCCTGTCCCTGAGAAGAGCCTGGTCCCCCCTCCTGCCCCCCCTGGAGATCCTGCCCAGCCTTGAGGAGACCCCCCCTCAGGCTCCTCCTCTGCAGCTCAACAGCCCCAGCTCCCCCAGCCCTTCCTCCCCAGATGCTCCAGCCCCTCAGCATCTTGGGGGCCTTTGCTGTCCCCTCTCCAGCAGCTCCTTGTCCTCCTGGGGAGCCCAGAACTGCTCCCAGTTCTGCAGACGTGTCCCCCCCAGAGGGGCAGGAGAACCTCTGATTTTGAGAAAGAAACCCTTCAATTATGGGGCAAAAGTCTTTGGTTAAGGGACAAATCCTTCAATTATGGGGCAAAAACCTTTAAATTTGGGGCAAAACCCTTTGATTTAAGGGCCAAAACATTTACTTATGGGGCACCAACCTTTGATTATGGGGCAAAAACCTTTCATTTTGGGGCAAACCCCTTTGATTTGGGGGCAAAAGCCTTTGATTTGGGGGCAAAACCCTTTGATTTTGGGGCAAAACCCTTTGATTTTGAGGCAAAAACCTTCGATTATGGGGGAAAACCCTTTGATTTTGGGAAACAAAACTTTCATTATGGGGCAATAGCCTTTGATTATGGGGCAAAACCCTTCAATTATGGGGCAAATCTTTTGATATTGGGGCTAATGCCTTTAAATTTGGGGCAAAAGACTTTGATTTGAGGGTAAAAACCTTTAGTTATGTTGCACAAACCTTCAATTAGGGGGCAAAAGCCTTTGATTTGGGGGCAAAACCTTGTGATTATGGGGTAAATCCCTCTGATTATAGAGCAAAAGCCTTTAAATTGGGGGTAAACCCCTTTGATTTGGGAGCAAAAGCCTTTAGTTATGGGACAAAAGCCTTTGATTATGGGGCAAAACCTTTAATTCAGGGGCAAACCCCTCTGATTATGGGGCAAAAGCCTTTGATTCTGGGGCAAATAATTTGATCTTTGGGGCAAAAGCCATTAAATTTGGGGCAAAAGCCTTTGATTTGAGGGTAAAAACCTTTATTTATGGGGCACAAACCTTCAATGATGGGGCAAAAGCCTTTGATTCAGGGGCAAATAATTTGATTTTGGGCACAAACCTTGAATTATGGGGCAAAAGCTTTTGATTATGGGGCAGAAGCCTTTGAATTTGGGGCAAAAGCCTTTGATTCAGGGGCAAATAATTTGATTTTGGGCACAAACCTTGAATTATGGGGCAAAAGCTTTTGATTATGGGGCAGAAGCCTTTGAATTTGGGGCAAAAGCCTTTGATTCAGGGGCAAATAATTTGATTTTGGGCACAAACCTTGAATTATGGGGCAAAAGCTTTTGATTATGGGGCAGAAGCCTTTGAATTTGGGGCAAAAGCCTTTGATTCAGGGGCAAATAATTTGATTTTGGGCACAAACCTTGAATTATGGGGCAAAAGCTTTTGATTATGGGGCAGAAGCCTTTGAATTTGGGGCAAAAGCCTTTGATTCAGGGGCAAATAATTTGATTTTGGGCACAAACCTTGAATTATGGGGCAAAAGCTTTTGATTATGGGGCAGAAGCCTTTGAATTTGGGGCAAAAGCCTTTGATTCAGGGGCAAATAATTTGATTTTGGGCACAAACCTTGAATTATGGGGCAAAAGCTTTTGATTATGGGGCAGAAGCCTTTGAATTTGGGGCAAAAGCCTTTGATTCAGGGGCAAATAATTTGATTTTGGGCCACAAGCCTTTCATTATGGGGCAAAAAACCGTTGATGCTGGAGCAAAACCCCTTTGATTTTGGGGAAGAAGCCTCTGATTCTGGGGCAAAACCTTCCCCCACCCCCCCTCCAGCCACTCCCTCTACCCTAGAGCTCCAGGTGAACCCCAAACCCAGGACCATCCTCAGCAGCACCTGAAGAGGCTGGAGGAGCCAACCCGGGTGCTCTGCAAGCCAAGATGACCACCACTCACCCCAGAGCTGGGTCAGCAGGAGGAGGATCCCCACGCCCTTGGTCCTCCCATGGGTGGGTTTTCTTCTGGCCCTGGAGTGGCTGGAGGAAGGTTGGAGGGCACCAACCATCCCCATGTTTGCAGCCTGGAGTGGATGAGCAGCTGGGAGGGCAAACTGGGATTTCTGCTGCCTAAACCTCCTCTTCTTCCTCCCACCAACCCCCTCTCAGGAGCTGCACCTGCTGTGAAGTCCTGCCAGGAGATGACCTGACACCAGGTTGTGAAATAACCACCTGTTCCAGGAAAAATGGGGAGCAAACAAAACCCTCCCTCAGCCCTTGGATTTATTCCAGATGGTTTGGAACACCAGGAAGAACCTGGAAAGAACCTGGTGGCAAGATGGGCTGCTGGGGGGTGGGCAGGAGGGCAGGGAGGTTCTCCTGCCCCTCTGGGGGGGACACGTCTGCAGAACTGGGAGCAGTTCTGGGCTCCCCAGGAGGACAAGGAGCTGCTGGAGAGGGGACAGCAAAGGCCCCCAAGATGCTGAGGGGCTGGAGCATCTGGGGAGGAAGGGCTGGGGGAGCTGGGGCTGTTGAGCTGCAGAGGAGGAGCCTGAGGGGGGGTCTCCTCAAGGCTGGGCAGGATCTCCAGGGGGGGCAGGAGGGGGGACCAGGCTCTTCTCAGGGACAGGACAAGGGGCCACGGGACCAACTGGAGCTCAGGAGGTTCCACCTGAAGCTGAGGAGGAACTTGTTGACCTTGAGGGTCCCAGAGCCCCGGGCCAGGCTGCCCAGGGAGGTTTCATGGCTGGAGTTACCCAGTAGGTCTTGACCTACTAACCACCCCCTTTCTAACCCCCCCCAGGAGCCCATTGGCCTTCTTGGCCACCAGGCCACCCTCCTGGCTCATGGTCACCCTGTTGCCCACCAGGACCTTGAGGTCCTTGTCCCCAGAGCTGCTCCCCAGCAGGTCCCCCCACCCTGTGCAGCTCCCTGGGCTCGTTCCCCCCCAGATGCAGAACTTCCCCAGCTGCTCAGGCTGAACCTCACGAGGCTCCTCCTGCCCAACCCTCCAGCTCACGGTGGCTTCAGCCACATGACTTTGGGCCAGAAGCTGCTCCTTGATGGACACAACCCCTCCAACCTCCTCCTTTGGGCTGGGGAAGGAGGAGGAGCCAGGACAGGAGGTGGGACGAGCCCTGTAGAGGAGGGGACACACCTGCTGTCCCCACCCCCAGCGCTCAGCTGCTCTCGCTGGGATGGTCACTTGTCCCCAGGCTCATGCCATGGGGTCCTGGGAACGTGTCCTCCTGTCCCTGGGGAGGACTGGCCTTGCTGGAGCAGGGCTCCTCATCTGCCTGGTGTCCTTCTGTGGTGAGTGGCTCTTGGGTGGGGGAAGGACCATCCTAGGAGCAAGGCAGGACTGAGATCTCCAGGGATGGTGGGACCTGGGCTTGGAGGTGGAGCTGGCAAAGCCTCCTTGGTCCCACCAGCCTTTAGGAGGAAGAGAAAGTGGTGGGGAGAGGAGGAGACCTTATTAACTGGTTAACTGTCCTGCTGCCCTGGTTGGGAAAGCCTTGGAGCTCCACCAACCCGTGAGCACCAAGCCCAGGAGTTGTTTACTTGTGTTGGCCACCTCTTCAGGGCTGGTCCAAAGGGCACAAAGTCCTCTGCTCTACATCTGAGGCTTCCCAAGCCACTTGTCCTGCAAGTGCTTTGCCAAGGTCCTTTTCTTCTGGATTTCTGTCTCCTTGGTTTGAAGCCCCTTCTCCAGGAGGTGATGGAGCCTCCACCTTGACCCCAACCTGGACATCTCACAGTTTGGAGCCTTCAAGCCCATTTTCAGATCATTCTCTTCCAAAAAAAGGGGGTTTTTTTGGAGCATTTTCTCTCCTGGGTTTGGCTTTTTCAAGCATAGTTGGTCTTCAAGCCAAATTAGAAGCACTTCATGGTCCACCTACCTCCAAGAAGCTCCCAGAAGCTCGTTGAGCCACCAGTTGGCCAAGAAGGCCACCAGCATCCTGGTTTGTGTCAGCAATGGTGTGGCCAGCAGGACCAGGGAGGTTTCTGGTCCCCTGTGCTGGGCACTGGTGAGGAGTGAAGCTCCAACCCTGGAGGTGCCCAAGGGACATGGAGATGGTGCTGAGGGACTTGGTGTAAGGCTGGACTTGGTGGAGTTGGGCTGTGGGTGGTAGAGATGGGTTAGGGTTGGTAGAGATGGGTTAGGGTTGGTAGAGTTGGGTTGTGGTTAGTAGAGATGGGTTAGGGTTGGTAGAGTTGGTTTAATGGTTGGTAGAGATGGGTTAGGGTTGGTAGAGTTGGGTTGTGGTTAGTAGAGATGGGTTAGGGTTGGTAGAGTTGGTTTAATGGTTGGTAGAGATGGGTTGTGGTTGGTAGAATTGAGTTGTGGTTGGTAGAAATGGGTTAGGGTTGGTAGAGTTGGGTTATGGTTGGTAGAGTTGAGTTGTGGTTGGTAGAGTTGAATTGTGGTTGGTAGAGATGGGTTATGGTTGGTAGAGTTGAGTTGTGGTTGGTAGAGGTGGGTTGTGGTTGAACTCAATGATCTTACAAGTCTTTTCCAACCAGAACCATTCTGGGATTCTTGGTTTATCTTCATGGCTTTGAAGCACCTCCAGGGTTGGAGGTTCCACCACCTCCCTGGGCATCCTCTGCCAGTGCTTAACGACCACTTCCAGTCCAGAAACTTCTCCACATCTCCAACCCATACCTCCCCTGGTGCAACCTGAGCCCATCCCCTCTTTGCTCCTGCTCTCCCACCCCAGCCCTTCTCCACATCCCTCTCATGGATCCAGTTGCTCCCCAGTTGGTTCCTCTCCCCCTGGCGGGTGGTCCCACCTCCCCAGCACCAGTGGGGGACAGGGTGGGGTGACCAGTGGGAGCTGGAGAAGGCTGGGGTGGTTTGCAGGCAGTTGGGCTGCAGGTCCCCAAAGATGGACCCAAAAATGGGTCCAGGGCACACATGGGACCAGCAGAGGAGGGTGGGCTTGTTCTTTGGCCCACATGGAGTCTGGGGGACACAGGGAACAGCAGGTGAGGGAGCAGCTTGGGAAGCAAAGCTTCTTCTCTGGACACAAGCCTGCCTGGACATGGTCCTGTGGGATCTCCTGTGGGTGATCCTGGTAGGACTGGGTGATCTCGAGGTCCCTCCAACTCCTCCTCTGCAGCTCAACAGCCCCAGCTCCCCCAGCCCTTCCTCCCCAGATGCTCCAGCCCCTCAGCATCTTGGGGGCCTTTGCTGTCCCCTCTCCAGCAGCTCCTTGTCCTCCTGGGGAGCCCAGAACTGCTCCCAGTTCTGCAGACGTGTCCCCCCCAGAGGGGCAGGAGAACCTCCTTGCCCTCCTGCCCACGCTCCCCAGGAGCCCATTGGCCTTCTTGGCCACCAGGCCACCCTCCTGGCTCATGGTAGCCCTGTTGCCCACCAGGACCCTGAGGTCCTTGTCCCCAGAGCTGCTCCCCAGCAGGTCCCCCCACCCTGTGGCTTTATCCCCACCCCAGTCCTAGGATGGCTCCTCACTGGTAGCACCCAGGGGCAGCCCAACCCCACGCTGGTCCTGCAGAGCTGAGAGGGGACTTCATGGTGACCCTCTTGTCCCCTCCACAGACTCCTCCAGCCCCCCAGAAGACCACCTGGCTGGTCCCCCTGAGCTCCGCCTGGTGAACGGCCCCAACCCCTGCTCGGGGAGGGTTGAGGTTCTCCACGACCACCAGTGGGGAACCATCTGTGACGACGACTGGAGCTTCCCTGAGGCCAGGGTGGTCTGCAGGCAGCTGGGCTGTGGGGAGGCCATCTCAGCCTACGGGGCAGCCCACTTTGGCCAAGGATCGGGCCCCATCTGGTTGGACAACGTGCAGTGTGGTGGGAACGAAGCCGCCCTGACCCAGTGCCCAGCCAGGCCTTGGGGGGACAACAACTGTGACCACCAGGAAGACGCCAGCGTGGTCTGCACGGGTGAGGGGGCGGCCAGAGCTCAGGGGAGGGGTCTCCAGGGGGGGGGTTGTGCTGGTTTCGTTGGACCTTGTCCCCCTCCTTGTCCCCCATTGTCCCATCTCCTGCTGGCCCTCCTGAGGTCCATGAAGGTGAAGAGCTTGGGTGGGCACCCAGGAGAGGAGGGAAGGAGGGGGTTGGGTGCTGGGGGCTCCTGGCAAGGTCCAACCCAGCTCAGCACGGAGACCAGAAGCTCAAATATGGGGTGGGAGGGACATTTCTGGAAGGGGTGGTGGCAACAGGGGGGGCTCAGAGGGGTGGGGGGGTAGGAAGGGACCTCTGGAGATCATCCAGTCCAGCCTCCTTGTAGAGGAGGGTCACCTGCAGGAGATCCCACAGGAACATCTCCAGGTGGGTCTGGAATGTCCCCACGTGGCTGGTTTGGCCCCAACACCGTGTGTTCCTCAGTGGGTCAGGAGGAGCTGGGCAGGAGGGCAGGGAGGTTCTCCTGGGGGGGACACGTCTGCAGAACTGGGAGCAGTTCTGGGCTCCCCAGGAGGACAAGGAGCTGCTGGAGAGGGGACAGCAAAGGCCCCCAAGATGCTGAGGGGCTGGAGCATCTGGGGAGGAAGGGCTGGGGGAGCTGGGGCTGTTGAGCTGCAGAGGAGGAGCCTGAGGGGGGGTCTCCTCAAGGCTGGGCAGGATCTCCAGGGGGGGCAGGAGGGGGGACCAGGCTCTTCTCAGGGACAGGACAAGGGGCCACGGGACCAACTGGAGCTCAGGAGGTTCCACCTGAAGCTGAGGAGGAACTTGTTGACCTTGAGGGTCCCAGAGCCCCGGGCCAGGCTGCCCAGGGAGGTGGTGGAGCCTCCATCCCTGGAGACATCCCAGCCCATCGGGGTGTGTTCCTGTGGGACCTGCTGGGGGTGACCCTGCTCTCCAGGGGGCTGCACTGGGGGGTCTCCAGAGGTCCCTTCTGACCTCCACCACTCTGTGATTTGTGCCAGGAAGGACATTTCAGGAGGGTGTTGTATTTGCTCTTTTAACTTGTTATTTTTTTTAAAGAGGAAAGATGATTAATTTTGACTTTTGACATTTTTTGAACCTGATCAGAAATGGGGAAGTTCATTTAAATCTAATTAAAATTAAGCCATCGTTACCTGTGATCAGGATGGATCTGCATGGAAAGGTGAGGATGTGAAGAGTTGTCAGCCACCATAAAGAGGAACCCATCAAGATCCAGGCTTCCCAATCCTCCACGGAACCAAAAAGCAAAATCTCCAGGTGAAATTCCCACCAGTCTCTTCCCACCTTTAACACAAACCAAGAACAGTCATTTCAGAATTGAAGTAATTGGGGAAAAAAAGGATGAACTTGAAGATCAGGGGTGTGATGGTGCCCGAGGAACTGGGCAAACTCTTCTCCCCCACCACCCCATGTCTTTGTGACCACCACCCCGTGAGGATCCCCCAGCCCAGCTGGCACCTTGATGAGACCTGGGCTGACCTGGGCTGACCTGGGCTGACCTGGGCTGACCTGGGCTGACCTGGGCTGACCTGGGCTGACCTGGGCTGACCTGGGCTGACCTGGGCTGACCTGGGCTGACCTGGGCTGACCTGGGCTGACCTGGGCTGACCTGGGCTGACCTGGGCTGACCTGGGCTGACCTGGGCTGACCTGGGCTGACCTTCCCCTCGTTGTCTCTGGCAGGAGCAGCCCCGGCCCCCCCAGGGCTGCGCCTGGAGAGCGGCCCCAACCGCTGTGCTGGGAGGGTGGAGGTTCTGCAGCAGCACCAGTGGGGCACCGTGTGTGACAGGGGCTGGGGCCTGACCCAGGCACGGGTGGTCTGCAAGCAGCTGGGCTGTGGGACCCCCCTGCTGGCCCCCGGTGGGGCTCATTTTGGGCAGGGTTCTGGTCCCGTCTGGCTGGAGGAGGTGAACTGCACCGGGTGGGAAAGTGTCCTCTGGGAATGCCCAGCCAGGCCCTGGGGATCCAGCAGATGTGGCCACCATGAAGATGCTGGGGTGGTGTGCTCAGGTGAGCAGCTCCGTCACCACCTGCTGGGGAGGGGCAGGTGGGAGGTGAGGAGGAACTTCTGCACTGGGAAGGGTGATGGAGCACTGGGGCAGGGTGGGCAGGGAGGTGGTGGGATCTGCATCCCTGGAGGTGTCTGAGAGATGTGGAGATGGTGCTGAGGGACGTGGGTTGGGCTTGGGGGAGGTGGGTTGTGGTTGGTGGAGCTGGGTTGTGGTTGGTAGAGATGGGTTGTGGGTGGTAGAGTTGAGGTATGGTCGGTAGAGCTGGGTTGTGGGTGGTAGAGATGGGTTCCTGGTTGATAGAGTTGGGTTATGGTTGGGAGAGGTGGGTTGTGGGTGGGGGGGGTTGGGTTGTGG